ACCTACCCCAAACCAGCCTTGATGCGTTGCTTTATTTTTAATTGAAGCAAAAAGTTTCATTTAATTGACTCGGTCGTTTGCAGCACAGATAGCCGATTTGTGCTTAAGTCATTGAGGGTCTCGGTCAATCAGACGTGCACTCATTCTCTTGGAGTAAACAACATTTAGGAACTGAATTAAAATAGTATTTAGCTCTGTAAGTACTTATGTGCTATTTAATTGTAAACGAAAATTCTTGAATGGCATCAAGGAGCAAAGAAATAATCATGTATAAATCATCCAGTTGGGAGTGGGACACCAGTAGTTCGATTGTGTTTTGTGTACGTGTAGTGTTCCCACTTGCATGGATATATAGTAAAGTGAATGTAAAACCTGTCAAAAGTGTTGTATCTGTCATCTTAGTATGACAAGCTTAAACATCAAGCCTGTTGTCGAACATAATTTAAAATGATGTGTAGTACTTGTTTTTTTCAAAAGCTCGATGGATTTTTAGTAAAATGAGGCCTACTTTATGATGACAGACCAGTTTTACTGTCATGGCACGCAGCCTTATTTTTTTGGTTTCTTATTTCAAACGGCCAAGGAAGGCGTGCCTCTTGCTTTTGATAGGTAAGTACTTCCTTTACGTCACACTAAAGCTGCACAATGGGCTATTGGCGGCGCTACGGGAAACACTCATGAGGATGATCAGAAGACATGCCATCACAATTTTGATCCTCTGCAGAGGGGGTGACTCCCCCGCTTTGGTAGTCCGATGACCTGCACGCGAAGTCGAGAACCTTACGGTAAAACAATTTAACTAATACAGATACCGCTCCCCCTCGGTCCATACGTTGGGTGATCAAAGTTTTTACTCACCTGCTTACTGGCAATAACCAGTGATGCTGACTTTGCGATTAAAAGCTGGACCCTTTTGCATTTGAATTCGATCAGATAACATAGAGGTATAGTCGTACGCTTTACAATTGTTAGATGAGAAGATTCCTAATAGTTAATGTCTGGTCATTAGATTTACTATTTGTTATTACGCCTTGTGGTTTTATTTGAATATTTTCATACCTTACGATCTTCTATAAGGTATGTATTTTGTCTAATCAGCGTGCAGTAGACTACCAATTAAACATATGGCATTGTGTGCGACTGGTGTAGACGCTTACAATACGACTCACAGCTTTAATTTATTGTTAGTAAACGCTGAAACCTGCTGTTGGTAATTATTTTCCTGTTGAAAAAGGAAGAGCAGGAGGTCATAAGTTCACGCTTTTATCTCGGCACGGCAAACCGGGGAAAAAATTAGAATGCGAAATGAGTTAATCGAACTTTATCTCAACGGATGAAAGCAGAGAAAAAGTTTAACTAATTTTTAAGAATAACATTAACTTAAAACTGCATGAAATGCAGTGAAACCTCTCAGAAGCAAGCCCCCTCTGTTCCACACTAAAATGGTCGCTAATGGTGGTTGGTTGTTCTTAATGGTTACGTCCATTGATTTCAAAATGTTAACGAAGTTACGTGTTATAATTTTTCTCAAAGGGTTTTAATTTTACTCAGTGTAATTTTCTTGGCGTGGAAAAGCTACTTATGTTGGCGTCAGGAAAACCAGATAAATGAGTTAAGGTTTAACTTCAATAAAAATAATCCCTAAGGATAAAATTATAAGTAAGAACAAAATGATCAGTTATGAATGATAAAATTATTTTTTATGTAAAAAAATATGCTTTTTATTGCTTTAAAAAATATCCTTTCTCTAAAAAATTTTTTTTTCTAATTCAACTTTCAACTCTTAAAATAAATCATTGATTATTGTTGTTGTTCATTTACGTCGCACTAGAGCTGCACAATGGGCTATTGGCGACGGTCTGGGAAACATCCCTGAGGATGATCCGAAGACATGCCATCACAATTTTGATACTCTGCGAGGGGATTGCACCCCGCTTCTGTAGCCCGACGACCCGCACGCGAAGTCTAACACTTAACGGTAGAACAGTTTAATGAGAACCAATACCGAACACCCTCGGTCCCTACGCAGACTGATCCAAGTGATCACCCACCAGCAAACTGACAGCAGTGCTGCTTGACTTCGGTGATCTGCTCGGAACCGTGTCTTAACGGTCAGTACACTGTGGGACTATATTTTTGTATTGCAACTATACAACTGCTGGACTATATTTGTGCGGAACTATATATTTGTATTATTTCGTATTTTGTATTAAATGTTAAAAATTGCAATTTATTATCTTTTTTAAAAATAAAACGTTATAAGAAACAAAATTGACCCCCTTCAACTTCTTATTTATATATTTTGCTATATAACTGCGGGACTATATTTGTGCGGAACTATATATTTGTATTATTTTGTATTAAGTGTTAAAAATTACAATTTATTTATTTTTTTAAAAAATAAAACGTTATAAAAAACAAAATTGAACCCTTTCAACTTATTTATATATTTTGCTATATAACTGCAGGACTATATTTGTGCGGAACTATATATTTGCATTATTTTGTATTTTGTATTAAATGTTAAAAATTAAAAATTTTTTTTTTGAAATAAAACGTTATAAAAAGCAAAATTGACCCCCTTCAACTTCTTATTTATATATTTTTTGCTTATTTATATATTTTGCTATTTATATATATCACTGCGGGACATATAAATCATTGATAGAATCGTCTTTAGTGCACTATGATTGCAACATAAGGTTGTAAACATTTTTCAGAGATCGTCAAAAAGTGCTCCTTAAGTAACAGTTTCGAATAAATATTTTGAATACATCTAATTATTTGTGTTGCTAGCATTTTTTCGCGTTTCCTTATTTGATATTTTTCGCATTTAGTGCGGAGATTTGTCTGTTCTCTGGAAGAGGTTCTGATTGGTAGATTTTCTTCAACACAAAGTTTATGAAAAAAATTCCATACCACCCAAAACTAGTCGTAAATAGAGGAGGTCGCTATATAGAGGTGGTCTTTCTTAGAGTTTTCACTGTATATTAATTTCTTTAAAGTTAAAACGTTAGACGTCGTCAGTTTGGTATATTTTGCGCATTTATATAAATAAACATATACATAATATTTTAGACATGCATACTTAAATAAAAACTCACATTTTGGGAAAAAGGGAGATATTACCATAATCCAAATCCTTCAACTATCTCTCTGGGCTATTTGATATCTCGACGTAACAGTCTGTGATCATTCATCATAAAATGCTAGTATCTATCGAAAGTTTCATGTTCATTCTTTCAAGAACTAAATCTGAATTTTTTTTTTTCGTATGCACTACACTAGATTTAAGAGCTTTGCGAAGATTTGATGCGCTTCATTTTTTTTCCTTTTTATTTAAAAAATCGAAAAACATTTGAGTTCAAATATTATTTTGAAGACATAAAAATAGAAGAGACTCAAAATAAGCTTTATTTATTTATCTAAAAAAAATTGTTTGTTCTGAATTTGAGATTTCACCACGTGATATCCTCAACTGGAATATTTTGTGCTACCAAATTATGATCTTCTCAATTCAAAGTCAAATGACTTTTGGAAACGATATAAGAGGGGTCGTATAAAAATTAAATTTTTATTCATAAATGTGTCAGGAACCTCATTTCTTTACATTCTATTTGATTTCAAAAGGAATCAACTGCATCATAATTGATTTCTTCAAATTCTATATAAAGTTCACTAACAATAATCATTACCTAACCAAATCATACAGAGATATTACCTATGCGTATCAATAAATGTCTTCCGAAAAAAAACCCAGAAGATAGATGCTTGAGCAATAAAATAGTGAATCATACTAATAATCTACATATAAATAAAATATTATAAAAGTAATAAATATTAAGTAAAATATTTTAAATTTATTTCAAGTTTGATATTAAAAATTTATTGATGAGTTATGCATGAATGAATGAATAAAACAAATTCACTATTCAAGAAAATAAATTGAACATTATTAAAAACTAAACAAATTAACGTTCTGAGTCTAGTGTGACTTTTATAACCGTCGTAGAACAGTCGACCCAATTTTGGGTTTACGACAACTAATGTTCAACTCCGTAGCTTCGTAATTTTGGACCAATCCAGAAGACAAGGAAACTCCTGGATCAATACCCCCAGAGATATGATTTGCTATGGGAACATGGAGGACTTTAAGACTCGGCAGATTTAACGTGCATCAGTCACCTTTACTACTCGGGGAGTCTTCGCCCAGCGAGGATCGAACCCACGACCTCTTGGACATCGACCTAGTGCCCTACCAACCAGGCTCTCCCGTCCCTAAGGGTTATGTTTGACTAAACTGTTTCCTTGTTACATCAATTATGTAACTCTAGGATGAAAAATTGTAATGCTTATCAAAACATAATAATTACATTCTACTTTGCTACATTTTAAAATTTATGATTACATATTAAAAAAAAGTTTTCATGGTGTTACAGGCGATTTTTTGACAAATTATCAAATTATTGATGTTTTTAATAAACTTTTCATTTAAATACTTCAAATTCAATAACTACTTCAGGCATTTTAAATATGATCAGTTATGGAAAGGAAATGTAATAATAAATAATAAGGATCGTAATATTATTGATTAGGAAATGAAATGTTGTGTAATAAATTTTTGACACCATACTATAAAATTTTCCTGATGTAACATACAGGAGATTATAATAAACAAGATTTGTAAGAAACATCAAGGATTCAGCCAATCCTTGATGTTTCTTATAAACTTTTCAATTAAATTTTTCATAAACTTATTACTTAATTTTCTATGTCAGCAAAATTTCCAAAATTCAAAAACGATTTAAAGCATTTTAAATACAGACCACTAACAAAAGTAAAATGTAATAAGTATTTTTAGTTTAATCGGAACTTGGTATATTGTTGATCTTTAGATATTAGCAAATTTTAAAAATAAATTTAAACTCTTTAGGAATTTGTTCATTTATCTCGGTCTAAATACATATACAACCAGGATAATTTTAAAAGAAAACACTTACCTTCCTTTGTATCAACAATCATTATCCAAAGGCTTTTTTCGTATCAATTAATTAATCCAATTTTGAATTTCTGGACAAATATCATTGCGAAGCTGGAAAAAATAATCCTCTATCTCTTGATAATGACCCGCTGAGTTTAGTGCTTGGGTCAAACAATTTTCTCGGCCATTGGAATTTCAAATGAACTCGGGCGGACGAGTTTGTTCTCTGCCTACCGAGGTAAAACTCAACTCACGCACTTAGAAGACCGCTGTCCATTTTAGGAATGACGAGATATTCTTAAGATTAAAGTTCAGAAATAACAAATTGTCTGCCTAATACGCAAATCTATAATGTAGAGGTTAAACGAGTACGTTGATGTGAGTTAAAATTTTTTTATTCAGTTAATAACATAAATGTTAATATAAAACAGAAAATTTTAAAATCAAATACAATCAATTAATCATTAAGGCATATAAATTAATCAATTAGTCATTAAAGCTTATAAATTAATTGGTCAAAAATATTGAATTTTTTTTTAGTTATCACATGAGGAAGTAATAGAAATATACTTTCTTTTAAAAGTGATTTTGAAAATAGCTAAATCTTATTTGTTTATTATTTTTTTTCTGTAAATAGCAACTCGTCAATGAGCGTTTTATTTTGGACATAACTCAAAATACGTTCTTAAGAAAATGGTAGTGGCTGGAAATGAGTATTTAAGAAAATTGAAAAATGCGAATTTAAGGAAATGGAAACTGCTCTAAAATGATATTTAAGGAAATGGATGTAGTTTATAATGCGTTTTTAAGAAAATGGACGCAGCTCAAATTGCGTACTTAGGAAAATGGACGCAGCTCAGAATGTGTATTTAGGAAAATGGACACAGCTCAAAATGCGCATTTAGGAAAATGGACACAACTCAAAATGTGTATTTAAGATAATGGACACAGCTCAAAATGAGCTTTTGTGATGCAATTGACCCAGAAATTTAACGACGTATCAGGTAATGTGTTGTATAATGATCCATTTTGCACATGGACGTAGCATTTGATTCCGATGTTTGAATTTTCTCATAAGTATTGTTCGTTTTTAAAAAATAAACTAATGAATCAAAATAAATTAGCTACGATATGTCATCTATTTTCATAAATCACATAATATAGCTTTTAAAATTAGCCTTTTATTTTTACAAAAAAATACGCCTCAAGTCTACATTTTTTAGAAGTTTGTGACGGGTTCTATAAGTTTACAATAGTGGTAGTGAAATTACATCGAAGGCATTTAAATGATTTAAAACCAATTTATTGTTTAAAGTTCTGAATAACAAGATATCACCTTAAAAGTTACCCTTCTAATATATCACGCCACCTCATCCAAGAAATCTAGGTATATAAATCCAATATTCTAATACTCGTAATGAGTGCTTGTGCTTAATACGCTCGTATGCTTAGTACTTTTTTGTATATTTTATAACCGTCGTTGAACAGCCGATACAATTTTATGGGTTTACGACTACTAATGTTCAACTCCGCAGTCTTGCAATTTTGAACCCAATTTTCCTGCTGGAGCTAACCCGCATTTGCGTTACATGGAGAGGAAGACCACGAGAATCTCCCACAGTTTTAGCCTGAAGGCAGGGGGACTCTAACCCATGATCCGTCTACCACTGAGGATATTTCACGTCAGCACTGTGGTCGGTGCAAGTCAGATGCGGAATTCGTATTGACTGGGATATGAACCCGGTTCGCCTCATTGGATGGCAAGCGCTCTATCCCCTGAGCCATCGCGGCTCATGCTTAGTGCTTGAAAAAAGAATCTAAGGGGAATTTTTAAGTAAGGTTAAAAGTAAGGGGAAATCGTTTTGTAGTTAAATTTGGATTGACATTAAGAAAGTGTATTTTTTATGTGACCATTTACTAAAATACACATTTTGAGTAATCACAGTGTTCTAAACTTTCTTTTTCGTGCAGTATTCAACTCTTAAAAAGGAATTTTCATCGATGTTCGGAACAAAAAGCTCATTGATGAACCATGGTGATTTTTTTCATGGAATAATTTAAAATTGGGAACTAGTTTTGAATATTTAAATTAATTTGATGAAATATTTAAGAATATTATATTTATTTAAAAGAATCAAATGGTTGTTTGGGTCATTTTAAAATAAAATTTAAATTTGCGCTTTTAAATGTACGATTAACTTAAGACCAAGGTTTCTCAATTGGGATTTAATGGTTTGGTCAGTAGATAATTTTGTTTCATCAAGGTTCTATACTCTTCTCAGAAAACTTTAAATGTGTTTTGTGATTAAATTGGTTTTTTGCTTTACCTTAAAATCACAATTTTCATGGGAGCTTTGTAAAAATTATCCTTTGTGTGCTGTAGTCAAAAATTGAAAAAATTAATCTTCTAAAGCATTTTGGTCAATTTTTTTTATTTACGTTTAAATTAAATTTTCAAATAAAAAAATTAAATTAAAAATTTCAATTTCAAAAGCTCCGTGTAAAATAATGCAAAAAAGTACAGGGATAGAACAAAAAATGTTTTTGAAAACCAATTCAGGACTCAATTCACAGTATCAAATAAATATTTTCTCTTCATTGTAATTATAAAAATCGATATATTTAATTTTTTCATTGTTTGAAAAGTAACTAAAATAAGATTTTTTTCTGATAGAGCCATGAAATAAAATGAAAAAATAAATATTTCGATCGATTGATTGATAATTTTTTCAGTTATTTTCCTTTTGAGAACGATCAGTTCAGTATTGTCTAAGAAAACAATTAGTTCACTATTTTTTATTAAAAACATCCAATTTAGTGTTTTCTTGAAAATAGAACCGCAAGTTTGATCAATTTTTTTGGTCAAGCTTAATAAAAACAGTTGATTTCTCTTAACAAAAGATGTCAAATAAATTTCTCTTAATTGTAATTACAAAACTAGATACATTGCTTTTTCTTTATTCAAAAAAGTAACTGAAATAGTATTTTTTTCTGATAAAATTATGAAATAAACTAAAAAAGTAAATTTTTTGATCCATTGATTTTTCTGATTTTTAGACCTAAGATTGATATTGCTTTAGCAAATATTTATAACAGATATAAATTTGCCGATTGCTTAAGAGTTGCGATCTGCAGCTTAAAAGCGATTATTACGATTCATTTATATTAGCAAAAAATTGAGACTTATCTTCTTATATTTGTTTGTTAAAAATTACATGACTTTAAAAAGTGATCTATTTAAATTTTTTATGAAAAATGCTGTATTTTGATTTTTAATAAATGAATTTCTTAGCAAAATCAACAAATATTTTGACTCAAAGTAAAAGCTTTAATTACAATTTTGGATTGGCATTCACTTATAGTAATTGTTTCTGTTTTCATCAATTTTTTTTGTCATTTCAAAGTAAAGAATGACAAATTACAATTCGTAAAATTATAAGCCATCTTGGTATAGTAATAAATAACTTACTGTAGAATTTGTACACAGATATAAGTCTTAAGTTAAGAGACATTATTTTCTGAAATTACTTCGATTTGGTACTTAGTTTTCAAAAAAGTGATTGGTGTTAACGTTATTTTAATAACTTTCGAAGTATTGAGATTTTTAATATTCAATACGAGATACGTTAGGTATTTTTGGAACTTATTTTATTGCATCACGATTAAAATATTTTTATCAACACAAAATGATGTTTTTTAAACAATCTCAGTTGAATACTATATCACTATATACCAATCTATGGTACTGATTTTCCCATCCACTTCGGAAAACTAGGAATTCATTCTTTCAAGACTTAAATAAATAAATAAAAATACCCTTACACAATGAAGATTTTTCTAGGTTAGGTTTGGTATTTTATAGAAGTCGTTAAACAACCTACCCAATTTTGAGTTTACGACTACTAATGTTCAACTCCGAGGTCACGTAAGTTTAAACCCAATCCAGAGGACAAGGGAACTTATGGATCAAGTATTGGGCGAAAGTTGCCTTCGTGGAGGATGTTTTGATGAAACTAACCTGCCTCCCACGTTTAGCTTGATGGCAAGGGGACCCTAACGCATGATCCATCTACCACTGAGAATATTTAACGTCAGTAATATGGTTGGTGCGAATTGGTTGCGGAAATTCGTCTCGACCAGCCATCGCTGAGAATCGATCCTGGATCACATTATTGGGAGGCGAGCGCTCTATCCCCTGAGCCACCACGGCTCCTAGGTTCAGTATTAAAGAGAAAAAATATTATCTTGCCAAAATAAGATTGCAATAGAAGATTATATTTATGGGTTTTTCTCTTTATTTAATATACACTTGCACACATTTTTTTTCACCCAATTTGAAAAAAAGAAGATTTTTTAAGAAAGAATTTTATTGTTCTAAATTGTGAAAATAATTTTAAAATTTTGTTTGTTTTATTTAGCTCTTTTTTTGTTGCAATAGAAAAATAGAAAAAAAAGAATAAAGAATAGTAAAAAAGTACATTAATATCTGCATTTTATTTCCTGTGTTCAGAATTTCATTAATTGCTCTAGAGTTCTAATGCCATTTTAATTAACATTTTATAACTAACAACAGTTATTTAATCTGAATCTAAATAAACAAGTAGGATTTTATCTGTCCTTCATTTAATTTTGAAAAAAAAAATGATTAAGTTATTTAAATATGCTTGCGCACTCATAAAAAAAATAGAAGAAAACAAGCAAGCTTGGAAAATTTCCAAAATATTTTGAAAGAATTAGTGCCTCATTTAGTTAAAAAATGCTAAAATGAAATCAAAAATTAAAATAGTTTTTATCTCGAAAAGATCTTATAAAATGACAAGTGATACTTTGAATTAAATTAAAAAGACTAAAACCTTTTTATTTAAATATTACTAAATTTTTCAATTTGACAAGAAAGAAAAAAAATGTTCTTATCTCGTGAAATATATTGCCGGAAAAATGTAGATAATAATAAAAAAGTCTTTTGAAATATCGTTTTCGGGTAAGGTAGTTTAAAATTACTGTTGAAGTGTTGGATTTATTTAAACTCTAGAGACATACTTCATAATTTTTAGTTTTTCCCGTCACTTTTTTTCATTATTTTTGAACCCATGATGGTGGTTATTATTTAGAAGGAAAAAAACGCAGATATCGCGAGAATTTTTTTATTTTTTATGTTAAATGATCTGTTTTAAGAAAAATATAACCAAGAAAAGAACTCTTCTTAAAGTCTACCTATATTTGCTGTTTGCTAAAAGTTTATTTTTTATACTCGTGGTTTTGTTTCTAACATGAAGACCCTTTTTTTTTCCTATGCCCACCTGGGGAATGACCTTTCGTCAATACAGGCATCTATAAATGGCAGATTTGTTGGTTACTCTTTCAGGGGCACCATATTATGTGCTCCAACTTTGA